AGCATTATATTCAACGTACTAAGCGCCATATTATGGCCCTCAAGTACCTAATATAATATACAGTATCAAGTTGGCCATGCAAACCATATAATATCACTACGTTCAACGTCAAAAAGACTAAATTTTTAGCTTGAAAATGTCACAAAAACACACATTTTTACAACCCTAAAAAGACTTGTTCATTGTTTTCATGAGTAAAGAAAATAGTAACTAAAACTTCAGCCTGCCCTGAAGTCATCAACAAGAAAAGCAGCAGCTAAGTAAGCTCTGATCTATACACCTCAAATCTTTCTGTCTGAGAGCAGCAAAAATTCCTTTACACCCGAACAGCTTCATGGGAATCAGGGATCCAAAAACGACGATGTACATGCCCATGAGACCATGAGGTCATATAAGTTTCTCTAGCTAAAAAGCTAACGAAGCGGATTAATGTAAGTAAGACTCACAAAGTTTGGTTATTGTAGAAGTAACAAACAACATTCTTTACTGCAGAAAACAACACACAAAAAAGCTTCCTTCTCATCTCACTTCTTCAGCAACCCTCGGCTGAAAATCTTCTTGCCGTATGGGTTGGTACGTAGCATCGAGTGAGATCGAACAGCTGTAGCAATTGACTCATAGAGAGTACCCTGCAACAGAATTTTGCATAAAGGGACATTTAGGACATCATACAGACTGAAATGTAATTTTAAAGTAGTTATTCTAATGAACAGCTAGCACTGTCAAGAATACTGACTATCAAACTGCCCCAGGCTGCAAATCTCAAACCTAAGAAGACTAGTATGAAATGCAAGAAAATTAACTAACACTTACAGCTCCAATGACTCATGTACAACATGGTACAAAAAAATGACATAATAAACAAAGCAAATCATCAGATATCAACAAATAATAGCTACTCAGCATAATTAGGCACGAAATGTCCTAGGTAAAAACAAAAGGTAATGCATCCAAATATGTGTTATTCTTCATTAATTCTTGATTACCATTATCGGTCAGTATCATATAGACATGGGTATGTTTCCAAGTGGAGATGCATTATCTTGAATATTCATGTGGAACAATTAGTTTTTTAATACCAAAATACAAACAAGATTCGTTACCATTTTCTAATATTATTACTTCATCCAAAAATAATCATAAACAGCAAAATAGAATTGTGAACAAAGGAGGAGAATCATCTCACACAATTGGTACGTATCAGCAAGATAATATCCTTCTTCAGCTCACACTAAACAAATAATAATCATCACCCATTTCATATCCATTTCATAGTTTTCCTGTTTCAAATTCTCACTTAGTTATAGCAGTTCACCATCTAAATTTACCGCTATCCTTAATTTCTTATTAATGCAAATCACAAATTACAATTTGGGTTCCAAAACCCTGAAATAACAATTCACTAATTAAGCATGATATTATGCTACTTCATAGATGAGCGTAACATGAAACAAAAACTAATAGTTAAGGAAGAAGCGTTTATAAGCAGACCTTGGTTTTCAAGTGCTGACTGAATGACATAGTTAGCATAAGGATCCTGCACAAGTTGCTCAAAATGAGAAACTGATAGCAATTCATACACAATCCTTGCATGGCTTTCCTCATAAAACTTGAAGCATTTTTCAACCACGTGGCTGCTAAATTTCTGCATGGAGAGATGCACAAAGTTCCCTTCTAATTGAGAAACCAGCTGTGCTGCCGCAGATGGAATTTTTAGCTCGAGGATGTACTGCACAACATAGTTTCTGAGATAGAAGACAATATTAAAGTCAGAAGGCCAAAAAATGTGACAAAAAGGTTCCCATCACTAGTACATTTAATTCATAACCTATAAATACTATATTGAAAAATTGAGCATGAAATAATATATAACCATCTAAAATGAATGCCCCTCTTATATTTAAGTCATTGCATTAGGCATAGCTCTTCTTCAGACAAATAAATACGAAGTATAAAACTTAAGGTTCCCATCACAGATTTCAATGGAAGAGTGGATTTATTATAGGACAAAGAGAGAACAGCAATATGTTAAAAAGAGCAGCAGCTTACTACTTTTACACTACACCATTATATCGTACAAAAAAGTCGTTATTGACAAGCACAGATACCTTCAGTCAAGAATGACACCACTGTGCATACCAATTAAGCAAAATCGAGCTTTAAAACTAAGCTTTAAATTAAGTCAACCACTTCAATAAATGTACCAAAGAAATTCTACAAATCACAATGATCCAAAAACTCTTAACCTTTAAACCTTTCTTTGTTCCCTCACATGATAAGAACAAACCTCAAAAATACATCACAATGCTTTCACAGCATATCCACAACATACAAAATGAAAACATGTAAAGTAAGTAATATAAGCATCAAATCCTATAATTTGATAGTTTTCATATAAGCAAATTAAATGTACCACTATAAAGGCCACGAGATAAGCTACAAACAAACAAATTGTTTTATGGCCCCCTCCTAATTATACTCAAACCTCTAAAGTGGCAAATGCAAATCACACATATTTGCATATATAAAATGACTAAATGAGTTATAAAATTACTCAGATTCCCCTCCTACAGATCTCCAGTACAACAGACAAGATATAAAGCTGTAGGAATATGAGAACAAGCTCATGACGTTGCAAAATAATTGAACCCTTATGAGTACATATGAGCTAGCTTCAGCAAACCATAAAAACTTTTATACAATTTTAATTATAAATTTAAAACTCCCCTATGCCCTACCCTGCAAGCCTAAGATGTAGTAAAGCTCATACACTACAGACATGCACTCATAGAGAAAGAAACCTCAATAGAAAAAATTCAAAGCTAAACAATATTGTTTTCAAATAACTACACCTGGAGAAACAACTCCAAAGAAATTTCCATTCAGTAAAAGCAAATGGATGATAATTCAGATTCAAATAGACATGAAAAGAAATATATATATATTTGAAAGTCTTTTATGATAGTATGCTCAAGCCATCAAGGAAAAGGTTAAATTTGTTGAGCCTAAATGTGAGTAGTAAAGTACTTGTAGTAAACAAGGCAAATACTTAAAAGTGCTTGATGAAATTTATTCATGAAAGTAAATCCGCTATAACAATAAGTGATATTCATGACGGCTTCTCCTCTTTTTTCAAAACATAAACAAGGCAAACCTGAGTGCAAATGTCCAACAAATAGATCCGCATAACATTTTATGACGAGTAATACTCAATACCAATTTGCATTAACCAGAAAGAGCATGTCTTTAAGTGTATCTGAGCAAGAAAAGTAATTTTATGAATTCCACAGTTCAGATTATTACCCAAAAGGATCTTGAGCAAGAATAAGGCCATTGCTACATATTTGTTCTAACAACTTCTGCCGATGTTCACCAGTGGAGTGAGAAATACAACGTTGAAGAACACAACACCCATGCCGATGAGTAGCAATCTCAACAGAGAACTTTGCAGCCGCATCAAAGATGAACTGCCATGTAAAAATAATGTTAAATGGAGAAATAAGTGCAATAAGACTAAAAGAGTAATATAGCTCCAAACAAAATTCACTCTAGTAATGAAGAATGCAAACAACATTTTCACAAACTAACAGCAACCGGATATACTAATTAGACAAAAATAATTAATATTAATGACATTAACTAGAAATGGAAAAATGAAAGTAATAATTTAATGACTAACATTGTGTAAGGGAAAAGCTCCATGAGTTAAAAAAAAAAAAAAATTATGGCAAAAAAAATGAAGCTGAAACTTAGATCAGTTGTTAATTAAATCAATCTTCTCGTCTAAATGATACGGTCTCCCATTTTAACAATGCGAATTCTTAGACTACATGAAAATGTGATCAAACCACCCCTTCTATATGACTATATATCAGGCAACAATGAAAACATGAAACAGTAGTACCAATCCCCTAGCAATTGTAGAAAGTGAACACTAGCTCCTTGACATGAAACAATGATTTGGCAAAAAATCAAACTCTAGTTTCATCAAGTAAAGTGCAACAACAAAAGAGCATAAATTCTGTGACTAAACAAATATCTTTCATCAATAATGTACATGCTAGTCGCAAAAAAATTTGAAGAAACAAGCAACTGATGGAAAATAACAGGAACCAGCAAAATAAGAGTAAGAATGCTTCACTCAATTTTGAGCAGGCTATAATCTATATTAGTCACATAGTAAATCTTGTGTATTGTTAGATGACAAATACCTTATTATCATCACTGCTAAGGCATTGCAAGCAACGCTGGACAACATGATTCCCATTAAGATCCTTAATAAGATCAATAAATCCTGGTTCAAGAGCTCGAATAACCAATGAGATCTGCTTCCTTGATTTAAGGCTCTCGATCAATTTCTGCACCACTCGTGTACTGAAACACAAAAAAACCAATCCCAGTCAAAGGAAATCATGGGAAAAAGTTCATAAATAATACTAACAAGGAATGATCAACTATTCATTATGTTGAATAGCAATACCCATGTGTATTCAAAGAAATTTTGACAAGTTCTCCACGGTTTTTGGTCACCACATGTACAATCCTCATTCTTTGGTTCATCATTGCAGACATCCAACAATTTCTGGATTAGATAATTTCCAAAGGAATTCATCATCAGCTCAACAACATGGTCAATAATTTCATTAAAAATGAGTTGCACGTCTTCAAATGACCCTTCATCAAACTTCTTCTGCAGGAAGCGACAACCATGTTGATCTTTTGCCATGTGATAAATCCTACCCCGAACCTCAACCAATGACTTATATAGAGCCTGCAGCACCAAAGGATCAAAGCTAAGCACATGGCTACCATTTTCACAAGCTCTTTCAGTCTGCAATGGAACATTAAGTTCAAAGTTCCTCTCCCCAATGTTTTTGCACTGTGTTACCACTAAGCAGATTCTTCGTACGACCACCTAATTGACAATTCTTACCAATTGCTCCATTAAATCCCTTATCTTGTAAGATCGAAGTCCTTTCAGAACCATAGGACTCGAGATTCCTTGTCCTTCTCATCAAAGTAACAGGCAAAGGACGCTCCCTTTCTTCAACAGCCCTCATCTTTTCCCTCATTGAGTTATAAAATACATTTCCCCTACTTAAACCCTGCTTAGAATACATTAACTGAGAGGATCGACGGAACTTAGGCTACCCACATTGCCAGGATACTGCCGTCCATATTGCTCTAACAAAGCTTCATTCAAACCAGGCTTATTATACATAGACAAATTCTGTGAATTTCCCCAAGGATTCAACATCTCCTTGCAGCCATCCATCACATGAGGGCCATATCCAGACTCAAACATTCCATTACCATACCCTACATTTTCACTTGGAATCACACCTCCATTACTGTTACATTCACCTCCCCTCGGAATCGAAACATTACCTCGAAAATCACCACTTCCATACACAGGCAATGGATCACAATACTTATTTCCTCTAAGTAATGGTACACCACCATTCCCATAACACTCATCTCCTATCTGACTCATCCCTTCCAAAGGAAAATTAATCAAATAGTTATGATGACCATGCATAGCAGCATAACCTGAATTCGACCCGAACGAATCGGCTAGATTACCCCCTCCCTTAATCCCCCCCAATCTAAAATCCTTAACACCCTTCTCATCTCTATACACAGAAGATTGAAACCCTCCCCCATTACCAGAAAACCCATTACTGTTATATAAACCCTCCAAAACCCCAAAATTCTCAGTTACATTACATTCACTCCCCGTAAAAACATCTGAATCTCTATGAAATTGTCCAACAACATCAGAATTTCCAAATACTTAACTTCTGAAAATCTGCTGTTAAACCAAGCTCATCCACCATTACCCCACCACCAACAACACCACCATTGTTAACCCTTCTATAGTAAGAAGAATCTGGTATATTATAACCCACATAAAATTGATCTACAAAATGGGGTTTTGGCGTTGAAAAACGTGAATGATCAAAAGGGTTTACTGATGAAGAAGATGATGATGCTGTTGATGAACCAACAACAAAATCAGGAAAACAAAAACCAGAATTTGCAGAAGATTGAACAACACCCTCGTACATTTTTTTGATGATAATAATGAGATTCTTCACTAGAATAATTATTATCACATTCTCTTTCACTTTTCTTCATCTCAGATTAACAAACACCCCCCAAAATTACGCTAATATTCAACAACAGAGTAGGAACAAAAAAAGCGAAATATATAACAAACCCAAATAAAAAAAAAAATTCAAAAAAAAAAACACACACACACAAAAACAACAAAACCCCAGATCAAAATTTCAAACAAAAGAGACAAAGTTTATAGAAAAATACATGAACATGAAGGAAGATTGATGGATATTTTTTCGACGCTTTTTTTTCAATCTGTTGATTGAAATGAAAAAAAAAAATAGCAATTTGAGAAAATGGGTTTTTGATTTTTGAGTTTTTTCACGAATTTAGCCAAGAGTAGTAGTACGGTCTGTTACTTCTGTGCACGCTCACGCCATTAAAATGAAGAGTTGAGAGCGATATTTATATGTGTGTGAAATATGTGTATAATTTTTATATTATAAAGTATTTTACAAACGCTCACACACATTGAGAGAGATCACTCAGAGAAGGGTGTGGAGAGAGTGTGTGTGAAGAGGAGAGAGAAAGGAGGGTTTTAGAAGAATTTATATAACTATTGATTTTAGTTATTAAATGGGGTTTTAACTGTATTTATAAAATTAAAATGGGGTTTTAATTTATTTTTATATTTCAATTAAGTTTTTTGTTGACCATTTTACTATGATTTCGGTTACATAATGTACCCAAATGTGAGATATCCTTTTGAATACAATTACTTTTCCTTAGTTTTCTCACTTTTTATTTATCTTTTTATTTGTCCAATTTATCTTTTTGTTTGTCCAATTTACCCTTCCTTTTTTTTTTATGTTATGCACAATTTTCAATGTATATTTAATCGTTTTATACATCGTATTATTTATTGATTCTTTCCCCCGCAAATAACGTATATTTATAATCACTTTGTACTTGTATTAACTCCGCTCATGCATAATTTCATTCAATTTCATATACTCCGTAATACATTACTACTAAGAATTATTCCTAAAAGGCTAAAACTATGTGCAAACTCACTTGATATAATATTAAGGAGCATACGACTATTTTAATCAAATACTCATAATAGGTGTGAGAAGGAATAGTAAGCCCAAAGGCCAAAAGTAAGGCGATATACAATTGATAATCAATAAAACTATATCAAAAACTCAAACTATTCTAAAACATTCTGAAATTGAGTTGTGTGAAATTATTTTAAAAGATATGAATGAATATAAGAAGTGTCCAAACTATCATTGGACTTAGAGGGTATAAAAATCCTACTGCCATCACTTTTTATTTTCCTCATTTTCCTTTTGGGTATCTTAATTACTCTGTTTTATACTCGTAAAGAAATATGAACGATAACTTTTAAACTACCTAAATTGCCCTTAAACTAAAAGTCATAAAAGAAAATCCAATATGAAAATAGAAATATAATCAATATGAGTATCATAGTTGCATTCTTCCAAAAATAAACAAGCCCATAGTAGAATAAAAATCAAATCAAATACTACTAATATTATTACCCATATAAGAATAATAATATAGCTCATATGCAATCAAAGATTCTTACAGAATATCATACAAAACCTCAATAAATTTTCTATCATACTTCCTCTCATTTTTTTTAATTGCACAATTTGTGATTTCCCGCCTGCCTATGCGTAATTTTGATAATCAATATCTTTAATTATAGATTAGTGAAAACTATAAAAAGTTGAGAATTGAAAATTAGAAATCAAGATGAATCTAATTAAATCCCACATGACTATTACAGATAAATCACAAAAGATAGTCCAGGAATAATGTGTGAAAAATGCGTGCAAAAGTTCAACTCGATCACTTACTATTTATGTTGTCAAACTAAAATAACTTTGACCACATTCTTTAATCCATACAATAAATATAAATTAGCATGTGAGATCTTATTAGATTCTCCTTAATGTAAACTCTCCAAACAACTTTTTATAATTTTCATTTACACATGTCCGAAGATATTCATGGTAAAAAAATACATATTGGAGACTGCACAAATGCAAACTAAATCAAAGTTTTACGAACGGAGGGAGTATATTATTTGATTTAATTCTTGGAATATTGCAAACATGGTTACTTATGTTTATTTCATTCGTTTTTGTAAGTGTTACTCCATTTACTTCCCCTTGTGGCAAAAAAAACTGCATTTTAATATTATAGATCTCTTCTCTCATGGTCCTCACTCAAAACCCACTACTACTTTTGTTTTTTTAAATGTTTCCTTCCTCTCATATTCTTACATTTCAATAAGCTATTGACCCCAATATTTTTCTTTTAAAATATGTCAATTACCCAACATATCTCTTGTTATAAATAATTCAATTAAATTGTCTAAAATTATGTGTCGGTCTGATTATAACACTTTAAAAGAACTAAAGCAGTATTATATTTTAATTTTATGAGTTTCCCTTTTAAGTCTTTTTTTTAAAAAAAAAAAATTGAAGTTTCTAAATTGTCATAGAATTTTGGAAACCGACTTCTTTAGGTGAATATTGTATTTTAAAAAAAAATTATTTTATTAAGCTTTTAGGGCGATTTAGGTGATTCAAAAAGCTTATATAACAGATATCAAAATCAAATTTAAGTCATTTTTTTTCCCAAGCATTATATAGTTTCCAGTTTTGTTTTATTTGCACTTTTTTATTTTATTTTATTTTATTTTTTAATTAACAACCTTGTGTCCCTGTTCATCAATGTGAACCATATCCCATCTTACTCATTTTCTACACATGGCTTATAATGTAAATTATGCTCTAGTCACTTCATCTTCCAAGAAGATTGTCTCGTATACTAGAAAGAGATGTTCTTGAAAGATTGTTTTTTTCGAACATTAAATTTTACTATTAATTTTTTCACTTATCCTTTTTTTCTCTCTCCTTATCATTAGAGTTTAGAAGTTTAGAACAATCTTCTAAAAACGAAATCCCTCAATCAATTTTTATGTCCTTGTTTTTCCATCGCCTTACAAAGATTTAATATTCTACTCCATACTATTGACTTTCAACGTACTTATTCAAACCTAAAACAATAAGAGTGGAATTATTTTTATTTATATTATTTTTTTGACATAAAAAAAAAAGGGTATATTTGCCGAGTAAAAGATCCCTACTTTTACAACCGAAAAAAAAAGATATGGTGATACACTAGTACATGGTCTACAACATCCCCTACAATTAGGAATTTGAAACGAACAATAACATCGCCTAGTCGCCACTCGCCACACTCCAAGTGGCCCCACATCCATCCACATTATATCGTTCCGTTGTCTTGCTCACCAAGCTACTTAATGAGACTCAACCATTGACATTTCACAATTGTCAAATTGACCATCCTTTTCATTGTTCATTTGCAAGCCTAACATCCGTATGGGCAGTAGACCTGTGGTGATACGTCTATATGACTATACCGAGTGTAGGTACAATGGTACATTTGACAACAGTTGAATTATCACATTGGTATGTAGTAAGAGTGAGGCTAAACGTTGAACGAACGGAGATGGGGAGATTCGCATACGAATCAATTAAGGACGTGTTTGGCACTAAATCACTATTTATTGAAAAATTTCGGGTGTTTGGTAATGTAGTGGGTGAAAATAGTGTTTGGTGGTAAAAGTATTTGTCAAAAGATACAACTACGGAGTATTATTTTTGAAAAATAAATAGTTATTGGTAATTTTTCTATTGGTTTAGGAAAATATATTTATTTTCATGTAAAATATCTAGCTAATATCTACTTTACCAGACACTCTCACAGGAGTCACATCTATGTTTTGTACTTCTTGCGTATTTTATTACTTGTTCCATTTATCCATGCGCGGGGTTTTAGGAGAAATAGTAAAAAATAATAAAATATGAAGAAATTGGGGTTGGTAGAATAATAAAGCATGATAATTGGGAGGAGAGAGAATTTAGTAATACTAAAGTATGATAGTTGGAGG